AGTTCAAATCCCTAGAACTCACATGTATACCTGTGCCTACAACACACACACACACACACACACACACACACACACACACACACACACACACACACACGCAAATGCTGTGTGTGTGTTGGATGTGGCACTCACCCTCAGGTGTTGGTCCCTGCCTTCCATTCTGTTGGATACAGGACCTATTGTTCTCACGGTTCCACGGTTCCACGCCAGCTGGTCACAGCGGTCAGAGATTTCCTAGCATCCCCTCCATCTCTCTGTCGGGGTACTGGGCTCACAGGTGTATGCTCTGTCCTGTTTGAAGTGGGTTCTGAGGATCTGAACACAGGTCCTTGCCCAGCAAGCACTCTACCAACTGAGCCTTCTCCCGGTCTCCACATTTTTCTTGACAGAGAGAGCCGACCCCACATGCTAATAGAGAAGTAAAGGCTTTGTAATCGTTTGTCATAATAATCACCTTTGACCCCCAGCAGCAACCCCCAGATGCCCCTTCTTCCTGATCTAAAGATAACCTAAGATACCTTGAGGCCTTCTCCTGACACATCTTCACCCCAGAGTCCCTTTAAGTTCAGCTCTGGTGATGGGGCTGCTGTGGTTTTACAGTCATTCTATGCTCTCCCCCACTTCTTTCTCTCTGTCTCTGTCTCTCTCTCTGTCTCTCTCTCTGTCTCTCTGTCTCTCTCTCTGTCTCTCTCTGTCTCTCTGTCTCTATCTGTCTGTCTGTCTGTCTGTCTGTCTGTCTCTCTCTCTCTCTCTCTCTCCCTCCCTCCCTCCCTCCCTCCCTCCCTTCCCTCCTCCCGCTCTGTTTTTTTGAGACAGGGTTTCTCTGTGTAGCCCTGACTGTCCTGGAACAAACTCTGTGGAGCAGGCTGGCCTTGAACTCACAGAGCTCCTCCTCCCTCTCCTCCCTGGGACTAAGGTGTGTGCCGCCACATCTGGTCGTTCTGTCTTCAAGTCTTGAAACTTCTGTCTTTACCATAGAGGCTTAGAAAAACAAAACTTTTTGTTGTGAAATAATTATTTAGAGTCACAGAAAGTAAGGAAATACGTCCCAGAAGGCCTTTTGTGACCTTTCACCCAGTTCCTTTCAGGCACGGCTTCTTGCACAGTTTTGGTACAAACCCGCAATCGGACACTGACACATCACCCCAGCTGCGGGCAGACTTGCACATGTGTATTTACCACTCTGTACTAGGCTTTAAGCCACAGGTAGTCCTCAGCCCCTCACAAGCAATCATTCACTCTGCCAAGGCCAATCAACTCCATCTCTACACTTGTGTTCATTTGGGGACATCAGACAAATGGCATCATATTGCAACCGCATTTCACTTAAAAAAAAATGTTCATTGGTGTTTTGCCATGGGCATTGGATCCCCTGGAACTGGAGTTACAGACAGTTGTGAGCTACCATGTGGGTGTTGGGATTCGAACCTGGGTCCTCTGGAAGAGCAGCCATCTCTCCTGCCCCCTTGTATAACTCTCTAAAGACTGGTTTTGAGGTCAGCAGGACAGCTCAGTAGGTAAAGGTAGTTGCTGCCAAGCCTGATGACCTGGGTTCAAACTCCAGGGTCCACATGGCAGAAGGAGAGAACTGACTCCAACAAGTTGTTCTCCACATGTGTGCCATGGCAGGTTCGTGTGTGTGTGTGTGTGTGTGTGTGTGTGTGTGTGTGTGTGTGTGTGTGTGTGAAACACATACACAAAAATGTAATAAGATTTGCTTTTATTTTTTTCTGTTTTTGCATGTATAATGTGTGGGATGCATGTGTGTGCATTCGTGTATGTTATATATGCATGTGTGTGCATTCGTGTGTGTTATACACGCATGTGCACATGCCATGCCATGCAAGTGGAGGTCAAAGGACAGCCTCAGGTGTCAGGTTTCAGCCTCTGTCTTGTTTGAGATGGGGTCGCTCATTCTGCGGCTGGCCTTGAACTTCTCGGGGTTCCCCTGTATTCTCCTCCCCTCTCACCGTAGAAGCCCCGGGTCACACCTGTGTGCTACTGCAGCCACCGTGAGGTGGACTCCGGAGGGTCTGAGTCAAATCCTCGCAGTTTCACGGCAAGTGTCCGCTCCACTAATCCATTTCCCTACCAGAACTTGCAATTTTATCACCCAGTGTAATGCCCCCGAGAGCCTTCAGGCAGCCGGATCCGGATAGATGGTTCTTCTGAATAAATAGTGACCCACAGTACGAAGGCACCACAGTTCAAATGTTTCCTCTTTGGGTTCCTACAAGTAAAGTTGCTACAGCTATTCATGAAAATTTTTCATGTGAATATGCATCTCATTTCCACAGCATCTGAGGATAGACTGTTTTAGTGCTGACATGCCGTCTTTGCTTTCCATCAGCAATCCGTTATGTAAGAACAGACCGACATGTCACATGCACACCAAAACCAGGTAACCAACATACCAGTTCTCAGATCTCACACAGGGGCTTTAGGTGGTGCTTGCTGGCATTGTGTGACATGGTGGCATGCTCAGGGAAGTCATGTGGCCAAGTCACACCACGCAACAATGACAACCCTACCAGACATACTGTGGGTTCATAGCACGA